GTGCGAACGCTCGGGCGGCTGCCGCTCCCTTAGCGACAAGTGGGATTTCGGGTTTTAAGGCGGCGTCCTTCACGGCGGACGCAGATTTCATTATGGCGCTCTTAATGCGGCTTATAATAATACAAATTACAACAATAACAATTACGATCGTTATCAAAGATTGAAGGAGGCTAGTCAGCCACTCCAACAAGGAAAACCCAAATATGTTAAAAACTTTCCCCAACCAATCAGTCCCTTGTGCCGTAGTGATTTCTCTTGTGTCTTTAGCTATTTTCTTCATCTTATTCATCTGTTCTGGTAGTGGCATTGGAGACATGCGAGAAACAAAACAAAAGATGTTACTCAACCTCTGTAGATAGTTAATAAGACACCGCCCTGGGAGAAGGAACGGGACGGGATCACAGAACATTTTGGCAACCCAGATGGGACTGCCATAAGGCCTTGCCTGGATCGTCTCGCCGTCCCCGGCAGCGGACCGGACCGGAGAGAGCTCAGCGCGCACCGACCTATCGATCGGGGACTCCTCTGGATTTGCTCCGAAGGCGAGGCGACAAGCAACTCAAAGGTGCAATGCCCAAACAGAGATATTTGCATCAGGGCGAGAGGGGGGCGAATTCTTGGATTGGTAAGTGTAAAATTTTATTGTAAGGTCAGTTGCTTCTGCGGAAGATTAAAATCGCATGTAGATGCTCAGCAAGGGTTGCCTTAATTGACCAGTGGGGTCAGAGCCGAGTGCACATAAGGGAAGTACTGACCAGGGGGGTCAGAGTTGGCAAATAGGTAATTATTTGAGCATTTGGTTAAAATGGGATCAGACCAATCCCCGATTCCTCCCTGCAGCCCTTTGGGTTATATTTTGAAAAATTGGAACAAATTTGGAGGGGACCCTATGACAAAAGACAAAATGAAAAAATACTGTAACCAATGGTGGCCGAATTATAAACCAGATGATGATCAGACCTGGCCAGAAAATGGATCAGTAAACTGTAATACTAGATTGCAATTGATGTTGCTTTGCCATTGGATGGGAAAAATGGAATGAAGTACCTTATGTTGATGCCTTTATGACTTTGTATAGAAAGCCTGATATTCAGAAAAGATGTAAGCTAACAACTGACCTGGTGATGTATACAGCTTCTGAGAGACAGGAGAGTGGTTGTTGCATGGGCTGTCACGACAGAAAGATTGCCAGGGAAGAAGAGCAGGAAGATGTACAATTGTTACTTCCAATAGCCCCACCTTGATATAAAAATAGTCCCCAAATGACTCTAATTCACAATTGGGCAATGAGGATTTCAGGACTGCCGGTTTTTGTACATGTTCCATTCACTACCTCTGACCTGATAAATTGGAAACGGTCTGTTGGACCTTATAGGGGAAACCCTGAGGGAATGCATCAACTATTAGAAACTATAATGATAACACATAGTCCTAACTGGGGAGATACACAAGCTCTATTAAATACGCTTTTTACAGCAGAGGGAAAAAAGAATGGTTATTGAAAAAGCCAGAGAAGGGAGCAGGAGGAATATTAGACAAGATGACTCTGAGAATTATGTGCCTACCAAAAAGGGAACCAGAATGGGATCCCAATGGGGGGGGAGAGCTCAACTGAGGTAGTATCAGCAATTGATACTATACAGGGTTTAACATGGAGAGCCTAAACCGAAGAATGTGTCTAAACTTTACAAAGTAAGGCAGGGCGCAGAAGAAAATCCATCAGCCTTTTACAAAAGGTTATGTGAAGTATCTAGAAAATGGACAGATTTGAATCTGGACGATGAAGCAAATCGGAGGATGTTCAATGTGTTGTTTATTGGGCAGTCAGCACAGGATATAAGGAGAAAGTTGCAGGAAGTTGATGGGGCCGGGGGTATGTCGATATCACAATTGATAGAAATAGCATATGAAGTATATAACAATTGGGATGAGAGAAAGAAAAGAGAAAAGAATAGAATCAAGTCACAAGCATCTTTGCTGGCAGCAGCAACAAACGAGAATAAGATTAGAGGGAAGGGTAGGGGTGGAGGTAGAGTAAGAGGGGGACGGGGTGGAATGATGCAGGGAAGTTGTTCACAAAACTGAACCCTGTTGCGGCCAAACCAATATGCAGCCCATAAACAGGAGGGGCACTGGAAGGATGAATGCCTGAACTGAAAGGGGCCAGAGGAGCAAGATCGTGTAAGAAATGCCAACCTTGTTTTGTTAGAGGATTTGGACAATGAATGAAGGGGATGGGGGGAAAACATTAAGGTCTCCCCAGCTGATCCCCTGGTTCCAATTAAGCTGGGGAACAAGATTGTAGATTTTTTTAATTGACAGGGGGGCCACTCATTCAGTAGTCACCAGTTCTAAAGGACCTCTAAGTAACTATACCTATTGTTGGGGCAACGGGAAAAAGAACATTAAGGCCATTTTTGCAACCGATGGAATGCACAACTGGGGCCACCAAATTAATTAATGAGTTTCTATATATGCCAGAATGCCCCCTACCTCCATTGGGATGAGATTTGCTATGCAAACTAAATGCACAAGTAACTTTTTCTGAGAATGCTGTACAACTCCATATCCCACCTGAAAGCCTGGAAAGCCCAGATCTGCTTGCTGACAGATGAGACATCAGAAGAATCCAAAGAGAATATTCTGAACACTGTACTAAATGAGGTAATTCCCCTGGCATGGGCTTCTAAGAAACCAGGTAAAGAAAAAAAAAAAAAAAAAAAAAAACCACCACACATAAGTCTGATTAAAATAGAACTAAAAAAGGGGGCAAAACCAGTAAGAGTACATCAATATTTACTAGGTTGGAAGCTCGCAAGGGCCTTGAACCCCTGATAAATACCTTTATACAATATGGACTGCTCAGAGCATGTCAATCTGAATATAATACACCGATCTTACCAGTGAGAAAGCCTCGCTCTCAGGAATACTGATCAGTGCAGGATTTGAGGGCTATAAATCAGATAACTAAGGACATACATCCTACAGTGTCTAATATCTGTACTCAAAAGCAATGCCTGTTTTATGGTGTTAGACTTAAAGGATGCCTTTTTCTGTATTCCAGTTGACGAACAAAGTCAGGCACTCTTCGCTTTCAAATGGGAAAATCTGACTACTGGAAGGAAAGGACAACTGTGTTGGACTGTTCTTCCCCAGGGATTTTAATTTAATTCACATTGTTTGGTGAAGTATTAGCCAAAGAATTAGAACAGTAGCAAACTAATGGTAATGGTGTTACTTTTTTACAGTACGTGGACAATAGCTTAATTGGAGCTGATACTGAACAGGCTTGTACAGAAGCCACAGTAAGCCTGCTAAACTTCCTGGGACTGGCTAGATAGTGGGTCTCAAAACAGAAGACCCAAACTGCGAGGGAGGAAGTCCGGTATCTTGGTTGTACTATATCAAAAGGACAACGAGCATTGGGGGAGGGAAGGAAGGAGGCTATATGCTGAATAGCTGTACCAAAAATAAAAAAAACAACTAAGGGGGTTCCTGGGAACGGACGGGTTCTGCCGGATATGGATTCCCAATTTTGGACTTATATTTGAGCAGAGTACCAATGTCCTCAGGGGGGATGGGACCGACTGGAGGCATCCGAGACAGAAGAGAAGACAAAAAGACTGCTCTGAGGAACAGAGGTGGCCTGAGAAGAGGTTCTGATAGAACAAGAGGTATCCAAAGTTCAGTCCAGAGATAAAAGCATGCTGAGGAGAACCTCTAAGGCCTCAGGGGGCCTCAACAAGGGAGTAGATGGGACCTGAGGAGGCCAGAGAGACCAAAGAAGGTTGGGGGACATGAAGAGGAACTCAGGAGGGGATCTGAGCAGAGATGTCCTCAGGGGGACAGGGACTGAATAGAGGAAATGCTAGATGGCGCAGGGAACTAAAGGAGTCCTCTAGGGCATGAGGAAGGCCTCAGGAGGGGTTCCAAGGGAACAAGAGAGGTCTAAAGGGGGCTACAGAGTTAGGAGAAGCCTGTGGGGCATGAGGAAGGCCTCAGGAGGGGTCATGAAGGAACAAGTGGGGTCCAAAGAGGGAAGAGGAAGTTCTGGGATGTGATCAGAGACACCGGAAGAGACCAACTGGGGACACTCCCACTGTCCTGGGAGGCTGAGGAAGGGACACACCGAGGCACCCTCGCCCAAACTGCAGCTCCCGGCCTGCCACGGAGCACGGCACGGCTGACTGGAGCCCCTGGCCTAGAACCACAATCCCAGTGTGCACGGCAAATCAACATGTCTGCCCTGTGGCCCTGGCAGAGAGATACTCCTCTCAGCATGCATGCTGGCCAGCGTGGTGGGCCAGCAGCCCAGCACCCAGAGACTGCAGCTGCCGGCATGCCGCGGGATGCAGCCTCCCCGGCTCTGACCCTGTGGGGACAGCATCGCCTCCCCCAGAAGCCCGAGCACACCCCACGCCCCCCAGCAGGGCCCTGGGCAACCGCCGCCATCACTCCGAGCCCCTGCCAGCCTCCGCACGGCCTTCCCCAGCACCCAGGGCAGTGTGTCCCCACCCCACTTCCCAGGACGAGGGGGCTTTGGGGGCTGTGTCCCGTCCCCCCCCGCTGTGGTGTTTTCCCAGGGGTGCCGGTTGCACGGGGGTAGCTTCCCCCCCACCCTGGTGCTGAGTCACGTCTTTGCATCCATCTGCCTGCCCCGCCCCCCCCCCAGCCCCCCCAGCACACCCCGGCGCCGCCCCCCCAC